AATTGTCATCATCTGTCATCATCATCATTTCTCTCCAAACAAATGCCCCCGATTTTACCGTGGACAACTAACGACAACACGACATCCTCTTTTTTTTTGGTGGGGTTACACGACATCTTTGTTGATCTATGTCAAACAATTGGCCAAAAACGTCGCTGATGACTAGGTAGCTCTGACTTCTCCCTTAGGGACATATCCATGTCTTTCTGGATGAGCAGGCACTGGGAGTCCAGGAGTTAAGGCAGGCGAGTGGTGATGAGGTCGCCGCCCGGCCAAGGTTACTCAGGCCAGGTACATCATTTTTGCTCGGACAATTTAGCAAGAACAAAATCAGGGTTTGATGAGGTCGCCACTCGGAGTACCAATAGTAAATAAGCATGAAACAGTCACAACTTCCAACGAGTAACGAGCACCATAAAATACCATCACGCTGCGGCTACTATTTTTCTTCGTTCTCTCTACAATCACCTTCCTGTGTGATGGCAAGTAGAAGTGTGGGAACGCATGGAGATTGCAAAGCCGAGGTTCCATTACAGTTACCATAACCTTTTGACTCCGAGAGAGAATCATACGACGCCTGACTTACATCAACAACGATGCTTCGACTCTAGCGGAAGAGTCTAGGAACGGATCGCTTTGGGATCTTCCCTTCAAGCTTCAATCTTCTGTATGCTTCTCTGATGTGGCAAGGCCTGATGGGTCCAGAATCTTTCCTTTCACTCATAACTATTCTTGCTGCAATATGCAGGTTCAATTGTTTAGAATCATAACAAAGGAAACCATCCTACCAACAGTTTACTAACAAACAACAGGTGTTTCACATATTATACATATCTTGAACCGAGGAACAGAAATTACTTTTGGCAGGGATAACTACAGTCTACAGAAGGCTAACTATTAACATAACAGTTCAAGAAACATAAAAAAAACAGATTAGTTGCTTGCCATGCCAACACGTAAGCAAAAAACTTCGATGGTTCCACAAGGAACAATGTAGATAAGCAAACTACTATGAACTTGCCTGTTTCAATGACCTCGCCGACAAACATCTTTGCTATTCCTGATACTACAATGGTGGTTGGCATAGATATCTTTTGACTGCCAGTGATACTCGCCAATAGCTGCAAAAATAAATAAACTAACAAGTCAATTATAAATATCTAAGCACACACTGATTTGATCCACTAATGAGAAAATACATCAAACACTCGTGCCTGCCACAGTGCCACCAATTAAGCATATTATACACCTGATGACTCCAGGTACATGGTCACCATCCAACAACAACAACAACAACAACAACAAAGCTTTTAGTCCCAAACAAGTTGGGGCAGGCTAGAGCTGAAACCCATAAGGTCTCGCAACCAACTCATGGTTCTAGCACAAGAAACATAAAGCTAGTTCTTTGGTGATACTCGAATCCTTCAGATCTCTCTTTACAAACTCCTCTGCACGACCTCTCTTGACATTATCAGCGCGCTTTAGCCATGCATATCTGCTATGCACTGGAGCTTCTGGAGGCATGCGTTGAATATGCCCAAACCATGTCAGACGATGTTGGACAAGCTTCTCTTCAATTGATGCTACCCCAACTCATGTATATCATCATTCCAAACCCGGTCCTTTGTGTGGCTACACATCCATCTCAACATGCACATCTCCGCTACACCTAACTGTTAAACATGTTGCCTTTTAGTCGGCCAACACTCAACGCCATACAACATTGCGGGTCGAATCACCGTCCTATAGAACCTGCCTTTTAGCTTTTATGACACCTTGTCACAGAGAACGCCAGGAGCTTGGTGCTACTTCAGCCATCTGGCTTTGATTCGATGGTTCACATCTTCATCGATATCCCCATCCTTCGGCATCATTGACCCCTAATATCAAAAGGTGCCCTTCTGAGAGGCACCACCTGGCCATCAAGGCTAACCTCCTCCTCCTCATGCCTATTAGTACTAGAACCACACCTCATGTACTCGGTTTTAGTTCTACTAAGCTGAAAACCTTTCGATTCCAAGGTTTGTCTCCATAGCTCTAACTTCCTAATTCCTATTAACCCACGACCGACTAGCATCGGCTAGCACCACATCATCCACAAAGAGCATACACAATGGGATATCTCCTTGCATATCCCCTGTGACCTTATCGATCACAAAAGCAAAAATATAAGGGTTCAAAGCTGACCTCTGGTGCAGTCCTATTTTAATCCGGAAGTCATCAGTGTTGTCATCACTTGTTCAAACACTTGTCACAACATTATCGTACATGTCCTTGATGAGGGTAATGTACTTTATTGGGACTTTGACATTCCGTGATATTCTATCATAGGCCTTCTCCAAGTCAATGAACACCATATGCAAATCATTTTGCTCCTTTATCTCTCCATAAGTTGTCGTACCAAGAAAATGGCTTCCGTTGTCAACCTCCCAAGCATGAAACCAAACTGATTTTTGGTCATGCTTGTCATTCTTCTTAAACGGTGCTCAATGAATCTCTCCCATAGCTTCATTGTACGGCTCATCAGCTTAATTCCACGGTAATTAGTACAACTATGAACATCCATCCCCTTGTTCTTGAAGATTAGTACTAATATACTCCGTCTCCATTCTTCTAGCATCTTGTTTGCTAGAAAAATGAGGTTGAAAAGCTTAGTTAGCCATACTATTGCTATGTCTCCAAGGCTTCTCCACACAATGGGGATACAATCACGGCCCATAGCTATGCCTCCTTTCATCCTTTTTAAAGCCTCCTTGACCTCAAGACTACTGGATTCGCCGCACAAAACGCCTACTAGTATCATCACAGGAGACGTCCAGTTCAATGGTAGAGCTCTCATTCTCCCCATTCAACAACTTGTCAAAGTACCCCGCCATCTATGCTTAATCTCCTCATCCTTCTCCAAGAGCTGGTCTCCTCCGTCCTTGATGCATTTGATGACTTGGTCGACATCCCTCGTCTTCCTCCCTCAAATCTTAGCCATCTTATAGATGTCCCTTTCGCCTTTCTTCGTGTCTAAGCGCTGGTAGAGGTCCTCATACGCCCAACCCCTTGCATCACTCACAGCTCGCTTTGCGGCCTTCCTTGCCACCTTGCGCTTCTCTATATTGTCTACACACTACACTCCTATCCAGGTAAGGAGTCTGAAACAAACTTTCTTTTCCTTAATACCCTTCTAGACATCATCGTTTCACCACCAGGTATCTTTAGCTTCACTTCCACTTCCCCTGGACATTGCAAACTTCTCTGAGGCCACCTTACAAATGCAAGTCGCCATCTTCATCCACATATTGTCTGCATCACCTCCTTTCTCCCAAGGGCCCTCCTTAAAGGCCCTCTCCTTGAACACCTGAGCTACCTCCCCCTTGAGCTTCCACCACTTCGTTCTAGCGACTTTGGCACGCTTATCCCACTGGAGACGAATCCGAAAGCGAAGTCAGCCACCATAAGCGTATGCTGAGGCAACACTCTCTTCAGGTATCACCTTACAAGCTAGGCAAGCAGACCCGTCTTCTCTTTTCGAGAGGATGAAATCAATATGGCTAGAGTGCTAACCACTACTAAAAGTCACTAGATGTGATTCCCTTTTTTTAAAGAGGGTGTTAGCTACGATCATGTCATAAGCTAGAGCAAAGCTTAAGACATCTTCTCCTTCTTGGTTCCTGACGCCATAGTCAAAGCCCCCATGCACCCCTTCAAAACTAAACCTGTTCATACCCCGACCGGGTTTCGGGCCAGGCTTGTTAAAGCCTCAAGCAAAAAACCCAAGCCAAGACCCGACCCGAAGCACATGAACAGTGTCATTTTCAATTAAAATAAATGTATTCAGGATACTAAAACATTTGTTGCCATTACGGGCTTTCGGGTGGGGAAATGGAGCCCGAGCCCGGCCCAGATGTCGGGTTGTCCCTGTCTATGCACATATCTATTCAAAACTTGTGTTAGATGTACCCACATGGCCATTGAGGGTTCCTCTATGAAGAGCTTCTCGCCAACGTGTACACTCCTAACCATGTCCTCTAGGCCTTCCCAGAACTCCCTCTTGGTGTTCTCATTATGTCCTACTTGCGGGGCATACGTGCTGATAACATTGAGAACTAAGTCCCCAACTACCAGCTTCACCAAGATAATCCGGTTCCCATGCCTCTTGATGTCTACCATTCCATACTTAGGCTCTTGTTGATCAAGATGCCTACTCCATTTCTGTTTGTTGCAACCGTCCCCTGTACTAAAACTGGAAGCCGGTATCCTCCACCTCCTTCGTCTTTTGTCCCCTCCATTTGGTTTCTTGGACGCAGAGGATATCAACACCTCTTCTCACCATTGTATCAACTAGCTACCGAAGGTTACCCTTACCTGTCAAGGACCCTACGTTCCAGTTGCCTAAGCGGATCCTCCTAGGCTCGGCTAGCTTCCTTACCCTTCGCACTCGTCGAGTCAAATGCGAAGACCCTTGCTCATTTTTCACTACACCCTGGCGTCGATGTAGCGCATCACTAAGGATGTGACGACCCGATCCTTGCTCACTTGCCACCGTATCCAGATCAAGATATGGCACACCACCAGGGGGTGACGGCCTGACCGTTGCCCATTTGACACCACACCCGGTTCCGATATGGCGCGTCGCTAAGAGGGTTACACTTACGCCCCGACGATTTTATTTTGGTTTTCATCTCCATAAGAGTGGTTGAGTTTTGACGTTGGCTCGCCAAGCCTATCACAAGGCTATGTTGAAACAACATAGGCGGAAAATATTAGAAGGAAAAGGTTGACCTTTAGAATGATTCTAGTATTATATAAGCCCACTTAGCTGTCAATAACTCAGTATGAACAGATATTTTCAAGTTTTGCTTTAATTTTGAGGAATGTAAGGCATTATAATCACTACAGACAAATGATAATGATATGTAAAAGGAATTAGTCCCCAACTTTGGTGAAAGCAACTATCATTAAGTTTTATCTACACCTACAATCTAGCAAATATAAGACATGTAAGACTATGATATACTAGTATGATTCCAAAAAGGCATTTGACGAAGGAAAGATGTTAGAAAAATAATAGATGTGCTTTAACAGGCAAACCTATGTATGACAACTCCAGCGAGATGTTAATGAATTAAAGAAAAGAATCCACATTGTAGAGATTAACTCTACCATAAATGCAAAAAAAAATCTCAAATAAATGCAAAAAATGAGGCTAACTGAGGCAGGTGGGCTTGATACATGTACCAAATTCTTCAATTCATATGATTCAAGTTAACTTCGATAGAAGCAGTCTTACCTTTTTCATGTTAGATTTCTGAAATCCAGATCTCCGAAATGACTCATACCGGTTCATCTGGTCTTCTGTAAATTGGGATAACAAAGCACTACAGATGGAAGCAGTCAGAACTTAATACATAATTTCCATCTAGATGCAATACATGTGCTTTCTATGCAATTTGGAACACAATCGTAGAAGCAAAGAAAGGCCAATTTCTTTAAAGTTGAAGGAGGGGAACAGGAGATCTTTAATAAAAAAGGTCAGGAGGTGGCAATCGAAGCATCGCACATCCCAGGAACTGCAAAAATGCCAATTTGCTATGTCATTATGATTATGCTGCAAACAATTGAGAACATCTTCCTTTCCCAATTCATAGATCATCATCATTTGAACAGGTCCGGCCATCAGATTTACTAACTAGAAGGAGTTACAGGTGAATATTGCTAAAATACTAAAATGTTTGTTCAAACATCTGAATTCGATAGACAGCTACACGCTCCCTACTACAGTAGTAAATGATATTTATTCGGTCAACTCAGGCCAAATTAGGGTACGCAGACTAGCTGATTCACAAACGCATAAATATTTTATCAGAGAAATAAGCTAGGCAGGTGAAATTTTCAATGAATTTCTATAACCAAAGAAACTAAAGCTAGGTCAAGGATGGGATAGACAGGCACGGACTTCATCTTGGCGAGCTTGTCGGGATCGCTGGTGCCGGAGGGCAGCTTGTCGAGGTCGACCTCCATGGGGTCTTCCTCGTCGTCGTCGTCGTCCTGCTCCTTATGGGCCCGAACCTTGGCCTTCGCCGCCGCCGGGGCGACGGAGGTCGAGGGCGCGGCTGGCGCCGAAGGCCGCGGCCGCGGCGGCGGGGCGCGCGAACCACCGGCACCCGCGCTGCCGTCATAGTCCTCGGCGGTTGTGTGGGGGACCGCTGTGGCAGGGTCCTCCTCGGGCGGCGCCGGCGAATCCGGCGGGGACTCCTGCTCCTCAACGGCCGCCTCGAAGGGGTCCTTCATGGGTCGCCGACGAAACGGAAGACGATTCTGGAACTGCGAGTTGGGGGCAGCGTGGCACCCGGTCCTTCATGGGCTTGCCCGGATTTCGTTTCTCGAAGTCATCCCATGGGTGGGCCTCCACCTATAACGAGAGGCGAGCAAATGCGAAGCGGGCATTTACATGGCAAATCGTATTTGACGCCCGCAGGCGTCAAAAGGAGGAGCCTTCGCTGAAGCAAGTCGCCACTTGGGCCGGCCCACGTACGGATTTCGTTCGCTGCTGTTTTCCTTGTTTCTTGCGGGTTTTTTTCGTTTTTCTTCTATGGATTTTTCTTCCAGTTTTTTCACTGTTTCGTAGGTTTTCAGTTGTTTTGTTCAGGTTTTTTATTTTTCTGTTTTGATTCCTTTTTTCTTTTCATTTTATTTCTTTTATGTTTCCTTTTTATTTTCTGTTTCTGTTCTTCTTCTCATTTATTGTGTATTTGTATAAAAAGTTCACCGTGTGTTACAAAATCTTCAATGTATGAAGAAAATGCTCATCGTATAACATAGTTCACCTTGCACTGTAAAATTGTTCATTGTGTATTACAAAAATGTTCATTGTATATTATTAAATTGTTCAACATATATTAGAAATGTTCATTATGTATTACAAAAATGTCATTGTATATTATTAAATTGTTCAACGTATATTAGAAAATGTTCATTGTGTATTACAGAAATGTTCATTGTATATGATGAAATTGTTCAATGTATATTTAGAAAATGTTCATTGTGTATTTAAGTTTTGTTCATCATATATTAAAAAACTGTTTAACATATACCCATAAAATGTCCATTTTAGTATTTTAAATTTGTTCAGTATTTTTTACAAAAAAGTTAACTGTATTTTAAAATTTCTTCAACGTATATTATATAAATGCTGAACTTTTTCTTAAGGATTTGCCACTGTACGTTCTACTTTAAGACTGGCGCTGCATGTAAAACGTTCGAAGTAGCTAGCTCGGCTGGTTAGAGTCACTGGGATTCGAGCATGGCGTGCTAGATGATTGGGCCGGCCCATGTGCGCGTCGCTTCAACGAAGTCGCAAGGATTGGACGCACACGGGCAGCGTATAGGAGCTCCCCATTTACATGGGGTTGGGCGTTCTTTCGAAAAGGAAAACATGTGTGGGCCGTAGTGCCGGGGAATCCTATTCAGCACTTTAAGCGCCGTTACAGTTTGTCTAAAAAAAGCTTGCTACAGTATTTTCTCTGGTCCTTTTACTCCGCATATTAGATTTGTCTGAAGTCAAACTCTTTAAAATTTGACCAAGTTTATACAAAAATAATTAACATTCACATAACACCACCAATATTATTAGAACCATCTTGGAATATATTTTCATATTATATTCATTAGGTATTACTAGCAAAACATGCCCGTGCGTTGCAACGGGAAAAAAATATCCATCCATCATGCTCACACTTTACAACATCGGCGAATCCTTTGAAATCTTTCACGATGCCACACAACAAACAACATGATAAGTGGTGTTTCGCAAAAAGCATAAGATTGGATGATTTTTGAATACTCAAGATGTTTCAAATTTATTTAACAACATAAATATCAATGGTAAACCGACATTTCCAAAATACCACATGTAAAGAAGATATTAATTAAGGTTGTATCGTAAACAAAATTTTAGAAATGATTAATATAATAGCATATTTAAAATCTGCATGATTTTTTGAGAGATTTCCATATATGACATGTTAGATTTTGGGTTTGAAAGTTATGAGTCAAAAAAAATTGAATGTGCCCGAAAATAGAAAAAATAAAAATAAAGTGGCTGGGCCAAAACTGAAACATCATGTGGCCCATCTGCTAAATAGGAGAGAATGGAGAAGGAGAAGATTTCTCGAAAAAACAAAAAGGAGAAGGAGAAAGAAGTGAAAATTTCAAATTTATTTAACAACATAAATATCAATGGTAAACCGACATTTCCAAAATACCACATGTAAAGAAGATATTAATTAAGGTTGTATCGTAAACAAAATTTTAGAAATGATTAATATAATAGCATATTTAAAATCTGCATGATTTTTTGAGAGATTTCCATATATGACATGTTAGATTTTGGGTTTGAAAGTTATGAGTCAAAAAAAATTGAATGTGCCCGAAAATAGAAAAAATAAAAATAAAGTGGCTGGGCCAAAACTGAAACATCATGTGGCCCATCTGCTAAATAGGAGAGAATGGAGAAGGAGAAGATTTCTCGAAAAAACAAAAAGGAGAAGGAGAAAGAAGTGAAAAGGAGAGAACCAGGAATCGAACCCGGGTCTCAGGTATGGAGACGTGAGGCTAATACCACCACGCCACTCTACCTCGCATTATGAATGATATGGGCTTACCTTAAATAAACATAAGCCATCCGCGATTTAAGTGAACCGTTTTTTCCCACTTACCGGTGGCATGGTGGGTAATTATTTACAACTCCAAGGGTAATTTTAGTGACGTACGACCAGAAGCACTATTTGCTTTATTAGTAGGGATAAATGTAAATATTTTTAATATAAATTTGGTCAAACTTGGTAAAGTTTGACTTCAGACAAATCTAATATGCGGAGTAAAAAGAACCGGAGAAAGTATTTTTTTTCAGTCTAAACACGTTCTATTTATTGATCATAGTCCAAATACATATAACAGTACAAACGGTATGTGGCGGCTGAAACGATCGCAATGGGCCGAGCCATCTAAGGCAGCGGTAGCGGAGAAGAGCGTTCCGATTTTGGGAAGCTTCTGAAAGCTTTCGGTCATCTTTTTTCATTTTGGGTCTAGTGGAGCAGTCATTGTTTTGGGAATTTGATTTATCTTGCCCTTCCGATGCTCCTCGATCAGTTTCTCTTGCTCTCACATGCCCCCGAGTCAAGGAGCAGCTCTCATTTTGTACATCTGCTTCGTTGTTTTGTCCTTAAATCTCCATACAAGACATCTCTACTTCCAAGGAAGAAAGGCCGCCGATGAAGAAAACTTTTGAGATGTGTGCGAGACAGGTGTCTTGTTCTCACACGGGTCTCAATTGATGAGAAGATAGGCCTGGTCTCATAGAATTTTTTTACCGGTCAACTAGGAACCGAGTGAACAGGGAACAAGTGAACCGAGCGAGTGCTTGCCCCGTTTATTGGGTCGGCCCGCAAGCGGGAGGCTTGTGAGCGCTTTCCACACTGATGCGTAAGTCACCAATTAGGAGCACTCAGAAAAGTCGTCTTTTTTAGGAAAAATGTGCTTTTTACTTTATTGATCAATCACAAGGTTTGCAAGAATAATAATAATAGCCATGCGGGTTTAACAGCAACTGATGATGGCGACTGCAAATCATGTTTGGCTAACTGGTGCGCCTCTATATGGAGAGGCAACCCTTATGAATGAAGGAACAAGATGGAAAGTCCTTGGATGTTTCATTAATCTCCTTGATCACCAAATCAATGATACCAGGAGTCCCACTATTAATATCCAAGACAACCGTTTTTGTAATCTAGTGCCACCTTCAGGCAACGAAGCATTAAATCTTTATCAAGGGAGGGAGCTCCGCAACAAGTAATAACTTTGAACATAGCGGGTTCCATCACACCATGGAATACAAGTGCCTAAGAGCCAAGATATAAACATGTATCATTATGACATACGACACCGATTACATCAATTTGATTGTTCCTGCTCACAACTCCATCAACGTTGGTCTTGGAAACACCACTCGGTGGTGGGATTCACGACCTAACTTGGGCAGGAATAGATCTTCCGCTGAAAGGACCAAGATGGACCTAGAGGGTGGAGTGAATAGATACAATCACAATTTTTAATTATTACTTAGCAAATTTTAGGCAGTATGCGATATATGAAAGCGAGGCTAACAATTGCAAAGGTGATTCTAGTGCTAGCAACATAATAAACAACAACAATATGATATATAACAAGTAACTAACGAAGAGACAGATGAACCACAAATAAGGAGGTAGGGTTAGATTAGAGATAACCAAACCTCCGGAGATGAGGATGTATTACTATTTTCGTATAATATGTTAACAGTTACTTAGTCCTAGACAATGATAATATTGTGTTCAACATACCAGATGGTTATTTTGGGGTTACCGAATGTCATTCCGTAACTAGATGTGAATAAAAGTGACTTACAGGTATATAGAAAATGTATGTCTTCAAAACTGGGATTTGCTCTTGTAATGATAGAGAGATATTATATGGTCTCACACTCAATACTAAGTTATCGTATAGTCTGTCCGAACACATGTGATTATGATCACGGGATACTGAAATACGGATACGAGTAAACAAAAAAACCCAATAACGAGGGTCACTGGTATGGTGATCAAACTATTGATCACATGAAGACCTATAATCCTACCATGAGTTTTGTAAACGTATCGCGAAGCAAAGAGAATAATATTCAGAAACAAAAGGTTCGCTCAAGAACTTCATGAATATGCGGGGTTTATCAAGGGTGTCCAGATCCCACTATTAACTATTGGCCAAAAATGATCCGGGGTGATATTCGCTTATTTTCTGAACCAGTAGGGTCACATGCTTAACGGGTAGTAGTTATGAGTTATGACAACTAGGGAAATGAGAGAATGAGCACCAAAAGAATTCCTGATGGATCCAGAAGTGTTCCGGTTGGTTCCAGAATGGTTTCGCGAAATTTGGAAAGGTATAACATGGTTTCGGAAAGTCTGGATTTATATATGTGAAGTTTCAGAAGGCCCGAGAAACTTCTAGGTTATCCAAGATTTTATTTGTGAAAGGATACCCTCTTGGGCTAACTCAAGAGGGAAGCCTCTAGTGGGCCTTATGGGCCCAAAGTGCGGCACCCCCTTCGTATGGAAGGCGGAGGCGAATTGGACTAGGCAGGAGTACTTCCTCCTTGGTTCGGCCGAACCTGGAGGAGAAATCCTCCTCGTGGTGTGCCCCTCCTTACCTCTCCACCTATATATATGTGGGGAGAGACCCTCCTAGAGACACAACAA